TTAAATCCCCTAGCCTCAATACTTAATTTATTAGTAATGCATACTTGCAAACTGATAAAAACACAGGAATGTGAGCAGTGCTGTAGTTGTGAATTTCTTGCCCAAATGCCTTTTTTTTTTTTTTTTTTTTAACACTGCTGGTACATCAGTCCTCTCCCTCTGGACCAGCCTCCCAGATTGCCATTTACTGTTGCCTTCAATGTAAGAGAATTCAGTTCTCTGGCTTATCTGGGGAAATGACAGGGGAACCCGTAAGTCATGTAGCGCATCAGCAATTCCAAGTTGCAGCACTCCAGATGTATGGGATCAGGTAGTGCTAACTCAGTGGTAGCAGAAATCTCACCAAGGGCATCAACATGAAAATACTATTCTACTAGCTTAGTAAATATAGCTCTGCATTGAATGTGTCATAAAACAAAGGAAGCTATATTTCCTGTTTTCCAAGACCGAAGGGCCCCTGCCTAAGGGAGCAGCCATAACGTCTGTAGTACAAAGAGATCTTAATGGATACTGCATGAGAAATGGATATTTGGTTCTGTTGATTAATGAGTTTGCCGACCACTGTTAACCCAACCAAATGACCCATTTGTTTACTACTAAGTATTTCTGAGTGGGATAATTGTTATTTGGCAGTCAATATTTCCCCATCATAGCTAGCAAGAATTTTTAGTAATGTGTCTTTTCTCTTTTTGGTGCCATTAAGATGATCTCTTTATCTTTGATTTTCAACAATTTGAATATAATATATGCAGGGTGTGTGTGTGTGTGTGTGTGTGTGTGTGTGTGTGTGTGTGTAAGAGCACTCTTCCATGTATGTGTGTTAATTTTGCCTGGATTTCTCTGAGCTTCTGGGTCTATGCTTTGATTTCTTTTATTATTTGGAAAATTCTCAGCTATTATTTCATCTAAGATTCTCTCCACCCCATTCTATCTTCTTCTGGGATTCCAATGACACATATGTTAGATAATTTGGTATTGTCCTACACCTCTTGGATGCTCTGTTCTGGGTTTTAAATTTTCACTTTTTTGCTTTGTGTTTAACTTTGGATCATTTCTGTTGAATTATCCTTGAGTTTATTGGTTCTTGGCTGTGTTTAGTCTACTGATGAGCCTGAACATGCATTCTTCATGCCTGTTATCATGTTGTTGTTTTTTATTTCCAGTATTTCCTTAAGTCTTTCTTACAGTTTTCTTCTTTTGGCCAGAGTCTGAGGACCCAGGATTCACAAATAGGTTTTCCACTTATTTTCTCTAAACTTAGGGTTTCTTTTTTACAAAAAAAAAAAAAAAAAAAAAAAAAAGGAGAAAAAGTGGAATATATAATAATAACTAGCAGAATTGTTTTGAGGATCAAATGAGGTTCTTTGGGCAAGTCTCTTCTTTCCCTTCCCCCAGTCTGTGACTCTCCTGAAAGGCTTGGACTGTGTCATTACTTTGGTCCTATTTAGTTCCTAATTGTATGACTCTGTGAAGTGAAGGGGACTTAACACTTACTGACAGCCTGTATTAATCTCATGTAGAACTTGAGAAGCAGATAAAAGTCACATTTAAAAAGTGCTTTTGCAAAACATTTTACTTTTGCCAGGTCTGTGTGGATTTTAATAGGAGGAAATAGGCAGCATTAAATCCAGTTGCCACTTGGTTAAATCTGTTAAGGAATCATTAAAATTTTTCAACTGTAGGGTTCCCTGACTCGTTTGAGATGTTTTACGGTTCATAAAACACCTCACTTTCTTCTCCTGTGCCTACTTGAATTTAAAATTATTGGATTGGCTCCCAAATGTTGCAAGGTGAGGGGAAAAAAAAAAAAAAAAAAACTCATGGAGGTTTTTACTCTTTTCTGACTAGTGCAAATAGATGACATTCTCGTCGGATATGGCTTTGCAGTCACAGACTTGGGTTCATGTTCTGATTGCACAGCTGCGAAGCCTTGTGATCATTTCACTTCTGAGCCTTGATTTTCCATATCTGTGAAATGGGAACGTTATCTATATCAGAGAGCTGTTTTAAAGGTAGACTATATAAATGTGGGTAAAGCTTTGAGTGTAGTGCCTAATCAGTAGTAATCAATAACTGATAGCATTAAAACTGATTGCTAAAATGATATTTGCTATCATTAAGTCAAAATTTTAGTTAACATAAAGAGAAATCCAAGTTTTATATTCTTTTTATTACTCTTACTGGAAGATCCACTTAGTAAAAGGAAAGTTTAACAATAGGGAGAGGGTTAACCAAAAAGCGAGTGTTGATGAATAAGACTGATAGCCAAGAATGAGAGCTGTACCAGGTGGCAGATGCTCACACCTAATCCTCAGAACAGCCTGGTGAAGTAAGCTGCCTCTGCTCTGAGGAGCTGTTCTTGATCTGAGTGAGGGTGACCCCCCTCCCCCAACCCGCCTTGGGTTCTTCCCCTCTGTACTATGACACAGTCTTTTCCGGGTACTCCTCCCCCCTCTTCATTTCTGATCCCCACTGAAAGGATTTCTGTGTATTTGGCCCAAAAGTGGCCCACAGTAAGTTGAATTGAATTGCTGAGATCTATCGAATAGAATCCTCTTGGGCATTTTTCTGGTCAAGGCTGAAATTCCACTTTCTTTATGTGTTAGATGAAAATTAAAGCATTGAAAACCGAATGCTAGCCCCAGGTGAAAATACTAAGAAAACAGTTGTGGATAAAGAAATCAATCTGAGGTCCTCTGCCCCCCAAAGCCTACCGCTTGCTAAGATAAACAAATAGACCGTCTGAAAGTAGCTATTGCTCTGGAAATTACCTTGGAGTAAATATTATGCATTTCAGAGGTGTCCACGTTTTGTGTTTCTAAGTAATTTTACTGTAATGGGTATTATTCAAGATTGAAATTACTTAATACAAAGAAACATTCTTTATTCATACTGTGAGAAACTGTCACCCAAAACACAACTCATAATATAGGCATTCAAGTTGAATAACAGGAATAATGTCAAATTATTTTTGTGGGTTTTTTTTTTTCTTGTCATAACAAACGTTTTCACAAAACTGCATTCCTGATCATAGATTTTTAGAGTTGGAGGAACCTACGAGGTCCAATCTAATTCCTTCCTGCCACCCAGAGGTATAAAGCAATTTATCTGAAGTCATGCAGCTAACTAATGACAGAGCCAGGGAGAGAGCAGTGTCCCTTATCCATTTGCCATAATGCTAGTTCCCTGGAAAAAACTGCCTACTCATTCTTGGTTTTTAATGCTGGAGTCTTGGGGTGAGGTTTTTTTTTTTCCATGACTAACTAACGAGTGTTCTTTGTTCTTGTGTGGGTGTCTGAGAGCCAGGATCAAAAGTGGTGGGATGTCTTTTTATTGTTGTTGAACAACTGAACCCTGTCAGGCACTCAACAAGGAAAAGGCATTTATCTAGTCTCCACTTAAGGGGTCAGAAGGAAGTGGTTGGAGTTCAAACGCCCTGCCCTCAGTGTTGACAGGCAGATATTTTAAGGTTGAGTTTCTTAATCTAAATTCCCTAAATGTTTATGAAAATTATGTAAATATATGCTTACCTCCCCAGAAATGCATCTGCAGCTTTCATCAAGTTATCAAAGGGTACATAATGAAAAACTCCCATTTTCAGGGGGAGGCAAACCTAAGCAAACCCGCTTAAGGGCTGGTTCTCCACTCTTAGACAAGACCTTCTAATTATACTTGGAGGGCTTCCTTATCTCCAGCCCCTTCCTCTGCACCCCTTCCCACTGGCAGGCCTTCCCCAGATGGCTTCCTGGATCTTGTCTTGGAAGTCACCGGAGGCTCAGCCCTCTATTCGCAGGAACTTTGCCCATAGGTTTCCCAAGGCTCCCTTCTCTCTCCTCAGCTTCCTGCTTCCAGGAGAGGGTATGAGACTCAGGGATTTTTGTTCGTTCAAAAGCTCAAGAGTGTTATGTCAGTTATATCATGGTTTAAAAAAATTGTTGAGCTGACTTGAGAACCTAAGACAGTTTTTATAAGAAAAAAAAATGTATGTTGTGACCGGGGCCCAGTTTGTTAAGAATATCGTCCAAAAGGCTGGTGGAAACCATTCTCAGGGCACATGCCCAGGTTTCGGGTTCGATCCCTGGTTGGGGCATGTGTGGAAGGCAACCCATGGATGTTTCTCTTTTACTTTTTAACCCTCCTTCTCTCCCTCCCTCTCTCTCTCTCTTCTTCTCTCTAGACATATCAGTAGATGAAGATTAAGAAAAAATATAATTAGAATTCCAATCTAATACTTTGAAAATTAACTTTTATTTATTTTAATTTGTCTTTATTGTTGAAAGTATTACAGATGTTTCCTTTTTCCTCCCATTAATCCCACACCCCCACCCAGAAGCAAATTAACTTTCAGAATGCCTCTAGTTCTTTAGTTAGACAAACTCCATGTTTGAAATAGAAACAGTTGACATTTTCCAGAAAGAGAATGAGTGAAAATTTATGGATGGATGTTGATTTCGGAGTTGCCCAGATCTGTCTGTAAAGTGGTCTTAATTTAGATTTTTTTTTCCTCCCCTCTCCCTGAATTTTATAAGACTTAGAAGAACCTACCTCTGAATAGGAATTCATTTTAATGGGCTTCCTTCCTAGGAAAGAACATATGGAAAGCACTTTCTAAATTTTTAAATCTAGCTACCGCTAAAATTGAAGCCACCACCAAGATTGAAGTTGGAAGAATTTGTTCATTTGTTTATTCATATTAAACATACCATACTGCCCTGCAGGTGTGGCTCAGTAGTTGAATGTCGACCTATGAACCAGGAAGTCATGATTTGATTCCCAGGCAAGGCACATACCCAGATTGTGGGTTCTATCTCCAGTTGGTTGCATACAGGAGATAGCTGATCAACGTTTCTCTCTCACATTGATCTTTTCTTTCTCTCTCTGTCTAAAATCAATAAAAACATTTTTAAAGAGGAGAACTAGGTGTAAGCGGTAGGTTTGTGCTTTCCTAATTTTAACGACATTTACCATTTACCATTCCCTTCTTTTATATTTTCAATCAGAGTTCCAAACGAGAATGGAAGCCCCTGGAGGATCGTAGCTGCACAGACCTACCATGGCTGCTGATTTTTCTCCTCTTCTGCATTGGGATGGTAAGGAAATTCACAGATGATAAGAACCTGCACTCATGATCCAAGGGAATGATGGGGTGTCGGTTTAAAAAGGGAGCCTGTTATTTCTTTTCTTTATTTTTTATTCCTCCTCATATAACTGGAGGTCATAGTTATTTTTATGCCATACAATTTACTGGTGCTCTCTGGTACCCCTGTTTGATCCCTGGTCTGGGCACAAATAAGGAAATAGCAATGAATGCATAAATAAGTAAAACAGTAGTTCGATGTTTCTCTCTCTTTCCCATCTTCTCTCTGTCTCTCAAAATAAAAAAATAGAAACCATCAAAAGTTAAGTGATCATTTCAAAAAGCCAGATTTTTGTTTTTTAAATCCTTACCTGATTTTTTTATTGATTTTTATAGAGATGGCAAGGGAGAGAGAAATATCGATGTGAGAGAGAAACATCCATTGGTTGCCCCAACCACGGATTGAACCTACAACCTTTTGGTACCCAGGGACAACCTTCAACTAATTGTGTCACGTGGCCAGAAAGCCTGATGTTGGTGGGGTGGTGAACAGAGCACGGGCCATGAAGTCCAGGGTCCTGAGTATTTATCCAGGTTGGTTATACAAACCTGAGGGCTATTTTTGTGTCAGTTCATTTTCTTCTCATGTTCCTTTATATAAAACTAGAGGTTTTGCTAGATGGTATCTACAGTGCTTCCAGTTCTGACACCTTTTAGTTCTTCCTAAATGAGGTGGCTGGTTGCTCACTGCTCCTTCCTCCTTCTGCCCACACAGGCCCCTGCTGCCTGCTGTGTCTGCTGTAGTGAGGGGCATCCCTCGGTGGAGATCAAGGAACCTGGTGACTTCCCAATGGGTGTACAGGTTGTAGGAGCAGAGTCTCTAGTGCCAAGTGTGGAATGTCCTTTTCCAAAGTGCAAACCCACTCTGCCCTGCAGTAATTTCTGATGCAGGCTTCAAAAAAGACAGAAAACAGCTGCTTTAGAGCTAATGGATGTTTAGAGCTAGAAAAGACTTGGAAATCCGCATCTGGTCTGTCACCCTTATTTTGCAGATTGAGCACCTCAGGCCCAGAGATGGATATGACCATCCCCAGGCAACGCTGCTAGGGAATGGCAGAGCTGGGAACAGAGCCCCAGCCTCATAACTTCCAGGCCTGCGCTCCTTCTGCGCCTTGTTCCGTCTTCCCCAACGGGCCTGTGCAGATAGTGTTCCTCTGTATCATAGTCTTCACAGTTCAAAACAATCATGCTGTCTCAGGCAGCCCCTTGTCTACATATGCATAGTGTTTTTAAACCCCCCCCCCCCTTTCATACCTTTTATAGAGATGATTTAGAAAGATCTTATTCTGTGTCTCTCTGTAACTTCCCTCCTCACAAATACCATTTGAGAATTACAGAGCAACCCTAATCACGACTAATAGGCCTAATTATAGGTGCCAGTTCTGCCCCCGACACAAGGAAAAGAAAGCAGTACATTTTAATGAGATAGAATAAATCCAGCAAAAATTTTAAGAATGATAGACAGCTCAGTTTCAGCAAATCTAGGATATTTAGAAAAGTCAAAAATACTACTTCCTAAACTTAGGACTTCTAGTGTTCAAGAGTCCAGTTACAAAAGTTTAGTGGCATGGCCACTGCAGTGCAGCATGCATGAAGTCCACAGCTGGTCCCCGCTCCCCGAATTTAACCCAGGGACAGAGAGCAGCTAACCTTTCAAAATTATGTTTATAAAAACATGTACCTGCCACCCACGTAGATGTTTTGATTTTCTGAGCTAAAATAATTCAGGAAAGTGCAATCATTAATGTTAACAGGCTGGCTTGTGAGTGACTTGTGAGTAAGGAGCTATTTGTTTACTGAAATGGTTTAATGCAGTGGTAATTAATATAATGTTGACTTTAGTGCGATGAGAGTTAAGACCCACTGTGTGTACTTTTAAATGCAGGCATAGCGATGTTTTTTTTTTTGAATGATTCTTTTAATAGATTACTACCTTCATCAAATTTGAGCTAACATCAAATCTTACATGTGAAACTAGAGAAATCTCCAAGTTCTGTTACCCAACAGTAGTTCTCTTCTGAGTATTTATTTTATATTTTTCTTTTTTCCTTTTGGATTTTATTCTATTATTAATTTAAAGATAAACAGTCAACAACTATTGAGAATCAAATTATTCTAGAGGCTTTCCTATATGTATTTATCTCATTAAATTCTCCCAGTTATCCTGAGATAGGGTTATTTCCAGTTTACAGACAGGGAATAGCAAGGTTAAATATTAGTTTGTCTAAGAATATACTGATAGTAATAAAGATAGAACTGGACCTTTCTGCTATATTCTTTTCACATGTGGCCCAGCAGCTGCTTCTTTCAAAGTCTCCTTTCTCTGTCCTCCCGTGGCCTAATACTCAAACCATACCTTGTTCACTACCTTTATTTGCAGCTCTTTGCTCTCTCCTTGATGACTATGCTCCTGCTCTGAAATGTTTTAAGATCGTGCCATCTTTCATTCATCCTCTCCAATAAATATTTTCCTTTATACATGTTCACTTTATTTTCACAGATATTTGTACTTTTATTTTTTCCCTTTCAGGGTTTTTCCACACTTGTCTAGAACTTAGGGTATTTTTCAAAGTAAATTTCTATCAGTATTCTTGCAAGCTGTCACCTTCCACATGAACTTTCATCAGTATTTTGAAATTATTGGACATAAGTTGTGGGCTTACCCTGCTCTCAAAAAAAGAAAAAAAAATTACATGTCACATTGTACTTCTAAATGTTTATTTTTTCATTAAAGTGGTAAAAAAAAAAAAAATGGTGCTCAACCTTAGCGGCACATGAGAATCAGCTGGGATCTTTTAAAAAGTACTCATTCTGAGGCCTCACCTCAGTGATTTCATCTCTGTGATGCTATTGCTCAGCCAGGATTGAGACCCACTGATGTAGGAACTGATAAGCCACTGAAGAATTCTGAGCAAGCAATGATAAGATTGGGTGTAGGAAGATAGCCCTGGTGGTCAATGTTAAAGATGCTTGTACAGCCATTGTAAAGGAAGAAGAGATTCAGGCAGACTACTGTGCTGGTTGATGCAATCGTCCAGATAAGAGATGAAAAACTGGAAATAAGAAGAGAAAAGAGAGATTTTTAAAAGTAGAATTTGGAGTCATCAATATTTCAGGTAAGGAGAGAGAGATTAAAGATGACTAAAAGACTCTTAATGTTAGAAGTTCAGGGTAAGGCTTTTTATAGTTCAGGTCCTTACATTATCTTCTCAGTGGTTCTAAACTTTATTTTCATAGATATTTGTACTCCCCCTCCATCCCCTTACTTTCAGGGTTTTTCCATACTTGTCTAGAACTTAGGGTATTTTTTCAAAGTAAATTTCTGTCAGTCTTCTTACGAGCTGTCCCCTTCCACATGAGCTTTCATCAGTATTTCAGACTTCTGAACACATGAGGTAGTAAGAATGGGGTGGATAAACAAAGTGGTACTTTATTAGAAGCTGAGTGGACACTCGATTGTTATATCCAGTAAATACTCCATTGTAAAATGACTTGTGGAATAAAGCTTGGCCTAAGGGTCCTTCCCATCTTGGATGGTCTCACTTAATTCTCCCTCAGGGAGAAGAATATGTGAGAAGAGAAGAGGAGAGAAAAGAGTCAAGTCAGCCCAGTTCAGCTTAACAGAAAAGGCAGGAAAGAGCCTGGCCAGTGCCTCAATTGGAATATTGTCCCATACACAAAAGGTTTCAGGTTTGATTCTCGGTCAGGGCCCATACTAAGGTTTCGAGTTCGATCCCTAGTGTAAAACAAGCATGTCAAACTCGAGTTCCACAGTACTTGACACAGAAACATATTTAATTTTCAAAACTGCTCAATGAAGTAGACATTAGCATCATCATTCCCATTTTACAGATAAGGAAACAGAGGCACCCAGCTGTGTTAAGTAGCTTGTCTAGATCACACAGGGACAACACTGGACACAGGAGAGGGAAGAAGAAGGAGAGGCTTCAAGAAAGAATCCCTTTTGTTGTCTGGAACGGGGGACAAAAGAAAAAGTTGTTCAGAACATTGACCTGTAGGACACACTTCACCTGCCAGTAAAATGTGGTCCAATCAATATTTCAGCCCTAACAGGTTTGGCTCAGTGGATAGAGTGTTGGCCTGCGGACTGAAGGGTCCCAGGTTCTATTCTGATCAAGGGCATGTACCTTGGTTGCAAGCACATCCCCAGTAGGGGTGTACAGGAGGCAGCTAATCCATGTTTCTCTCTCATTGATGTTTCTAATTTTCTATCCCTCTCCCTTTCTCTCTATAAAAAAATCAATAAACTATATTAAAAAATATTTGAGACACTGAACAAATAGTTGAGCAACACCGCTTCCTCTAGTGCGAAGTTAGGAAGCAGGGTGCTGCCAGAAGCTGTGGAGAGAACTGAAACAGCCTTTCACTCCTCTCTGACACATGCAGTCTTATGAGTAGGGATGCTCCAAAAGGAGAGAGGGTATATGCAGGAAAGGGAAGTGGTTTGGTGAAATGAGAAGATGACTCCGGCACATAAAATGTATGGGTAAGGATAAGCAATTGGAAATGCAGAGTTGGAATTTGGGGCAGTGATCTGGACTACAGCTGATGTAGGTGACATCATTGCAGAGTTTGTCCCTCCAGACTGCTCTTGAGGATCTTTTTCGTTTAATAGCTCTGGTTCCCAGAGCTCAGGGTTTCTACCTCATTGACTGAGTCTCAGCACAGAGGGAGAGACTCAGACTCACTGCAGTGTTTTGTCACCTGTGTGATGATCTCTGCTTTGCCAGGATCATGGGATAGGAAGAACAGCAGACCAAAGACTACCTTAGACTACCTGATCCAGATGACTACCTACTTTCTGTTAAATCCTCTGTTTTCTGTTTTGTTTTCTTTAAAAAAAATATTTTAAAGATTATGGTAAAATGTGCATAATAAGATTTATATAATGTATATTTTAAAGTATACAGTTTTTTTTTAAACCCATTTAAA